TAAATTTTGTATCAAAGCATATTGTTTTTCATTCCTCTTTACGTTCACTTGTTGGTTCAAGGCAGTTCGTGTTACCAAGCCAAAGATTCCAGAATCTATCAGGAGGAACTTTGAACTCATGTGAGTTTATAATCCTTTAGTGCACATTTTTTTAAAATATATTTTTAATCCATCCTCTCGGTTGAAAGATGGCAAAACACTTTCCAAAACTTTTTTTTCTTTTGTTTGTGTGTATGTACAGGGAGGCTGAAAAGACCCGCCTTTTAATAACAGTGCAGACTCAGAAAGTGGTAGAAAAAGAAGCAGAGACTGAAAGGAAGAAAGCCATTATTGGTAAATCTGTTGTTTTAGTGTCTGTGAATCTGCTAATGTCTTGGAGCACAGTTAACTGTTTCCTTCCCTGTTTTACCCAACAGAGGCTCAAAAGGTTGCTCAAGTAGCAGAGATCCAGTACAAGCAGAAAGTCATGGAGAAAGAGACGGAGAAGAAGATTTCTGAAATAGAAGGTTAGCATCGCGTGTTGAGATTCTCAGACGTTTCTGTGACATCCTCGATGGTTTTGAAACTGTTTCTGTTTTAGACGCTGCTTTCCTGGCAAGGGAGAAGGCGAAGGCTGATGCAGAATACTACACTGCTGCCAAATCTGCAGAATCTAACAGGGTAAGAAGATGAATAAATCACTTCTACAGTGGGATCCCAATGGAGTACAATATCATTGAATAGCTCATTTTGTCACTAATAAAACAAAAAAAAAGAAAAACTATGGATAATGTAGGTTCAGTGAAATATCTCTGTTATTTCTTGCCTCCCTAAAACTCGTAGGTTCAATCCAGTTCATTTTCTTGTAAATAAACTTTACAAAAACTGATTAGGTCATATATTCCAATTGATGGGTTTTGCTTCTCAATCATCTTCAGACTGATTATCCCTGATGCTTCTCCACCTTTTTCTACTTTTTCCTTCCACTCAACTCTCCAGTCACATGCCTGCATACAGTCAGGGTTAGGCTTTTGCATTCCTGTTCAAAAGATAATACATTTTTATTGATCTCAAGTATTATTCTCCTGAGATTGAATTTTGGATTTTTACTAGTCATGAGCCATAATCATAAAAAAAGAACATATGCTCTAAATATATCATGATGTGTAAAGAAAATGTATATTTTCTATTTCTTTTTTTCAAATTAAGTTAAATGTTTAATTCATTTAATTAATGAAAGACTTATTTGATTTGTCAATAAGCACAAAGCTGCAGGCAGGATTCAGTTTAGTCTCTCTGACTGTCAGAATATTTAAAGTCTGCATATTATATTTGATAAATGAGGCCAGATGGCAATTTATGCTTCATATACTCCTCCTACCTTTGGCTTTTTTTATCCTCTAGAAATGTAACGTTTTGATTACCCATAAAATATCCTCCTCAGCTTGAGTCAGATCCTGGACATGTTATTAACTCCTCCCACCCTCTCAAGTTGTTCCAACACCTGGATTGGGTTTATTTTCAGCCTGGATTGTCGTGCTAAGAGACACGCTAGTATTTTCATGAGTTGATTTGCATTAATAATGAGCTGTTTTTCTTCTAAATCTTTGCAGCTGAAATTGACACCGGAATACCTGGAGCTCATGAAGTACCAGGCCATAGCGGGTAACAGTAAGATCTACTTTGGCCAGGACATTCCTAACATGTTTGTGGAGGGGACGAACGGCGCTGCTAGACCCGTGCCCTCGCCTTCTTTACCCATCGCTGAACCGGAACTGAGTAAAGCGAAGTAAAAGTCACAGTGAGTCCACAGCTGAGCCTCTGCACAGGGCAGGACGACCTGATGCAAAGCGGTCTTGTCACTGAACATGTGTTGCTTTGCTGCTAGTTTGGTGAACAGCACACTTCAGTCTTAAATCTACATGGTAGAGAGAGAGAAAGTGAAAAGTCAGAGTTTGGGACACACAGTGTGAGTCTTACCAGGAAACGGAACGATGCCGACTTTACGTCTGGGAAGGTGACAGAAAGTACTTACACCTGCTTTTTTTTCCTTTTTTTTTAATTAAATCATTGCAGCGTTTAACTTTGCTTTTGGAGCCATTTTCATTACTTATGTGCAGCAGCTGTGATTTGTGATCGCCATGAGTTACTGTTTTTCTAACCTCTGGTTTAACTACATTGAAACTTGACTGGTGACACTAATTGAGTTGGATGGAGACGTTTCTAAGTAATTAAAGTCATCTGTGCCATTTGTTTTTCTTTTAACAAGTTAGTGGTTGGCTATCCTCTCTTAGTCCACGCCTGAGAACAATTGATTAACACCTCATGCTGCTCCTGGTGACGTTTTGGCACTTAGGCTGGTTGAATGCAAATGTTTCAACATTAAAGACACAATGAAAATAATCCCAGCTGTTAATCTTCCTTTCACTCAGAGATCTGGAAGTTTTGTGGAGCAGAGTAGTGGATAAATAAGATTGTTGGCTGTTTGCTTTATTTTTATGGATGATTTTAATTTGTAATCTGTTGGTTTGCTGACTTTCTGTGACACTTACTGTGAAGGAAAAGGGACATAAACTCATATTTTTTGTCTCATAAAGCTAAATTAAGATGCTTGATATGGAGTAAATCAGTAAAGGTGGGGGAATTTCTTTTGTCAGGCTGTCGGCATGTTGGTATGGTTTTGATTAACAGGGCTATGCATGTTTTTTTGTTTTGTTTTTTAATTCAGATAAATAAAACCCATGATTGTCTCCTTACACAGCTTGTTCAGATATGATTAAATGTAAATTCTCAGGACGTTTTAGTTTATTCTAATTATTGTTTGACTTATTATTGAGCAATGCTTTGCTTTTACGTCAAAAATAAAAAAGAAAGTAAACAAAAAATTGTTTTCAAGCCTAAAACTGAACGAATGATGATGGTTTGATTGCACCGAACACCTTTTTGTATGCAGTCAACTCACAGTAGCTGTCTATATTGTGAGGATAAGCTTTTGTTGAGGTTGAAGTAAATCTTCCAATTTTGTCATTGTTTACTTTTTCTACTCTTAAAATTTGACTGGAAACTTCTGATAATTTGCTAATGACTGTAATGTTGATGGGTTTTCAGGGTTTAATGGCAACACGCATCTGATTAGTAATAAGCGGTTAAACATACAGTTGTGCTCAAAATATCAGCAGTGGGTTTAAAACGGAAAGTTTTTAACCTTTGCTTTCTATATATCTGAATTATTATTTTTGATGTCAATTATTGAGGACAAAAATAATCAAACTTGCTATGTCTACAGAAATTGAGGATAAGGGAATATTAGGATATTCAAACTCAAACATGTGATGCATAAACTGAAGAAAATTCTTGAGCTTTCAGCTCTTTGACTCGCTGGAATAATATTTAGTTGTTTATCACTGTTCCTAAGTGCTTCACATCTGTAGCATGGAGTCTACTTCTGGTTCCTGTGATCACGTTTTCCAGCCTCCATCTTAGATCAGTGTTTGGTGGTTAACTGCTTTGTCTCTTTGTCCACATCTTTTTGGTTTTGGGTTCAATTATAAAGCATTTAAGATCATTTCAGCAAAGCAGCCACCATTTAACACGGTTTCCTTTTTTCCAAGTCAACTTTTTAATCAAAATACCATGAAAATATTTCTGTTGTACTCAGGTTCCATTGACCAATACATCATACCTACAAATTGAAAGCTCGCTAGGGCCTCTCTCTTAATTAATGACTCAGTAACATGAACATTCATGGCTGTTGTCACTGTTGGTTTTATTATTCCACTACACCTGCCAGCAAATTATTGGCTTTCACCTAGAACAGTGATTGATCTTTTAGCACTGCTATTATTTTCAACACAACTGTGTTTGTTCAGTTTTATTGTAATTTAATTTCAAACTAATCCCAGGAATAAGTATTTCAAGATAAAGGCTGATATTGCAAGTTGGTGCTAGAATTTAATGGGTTTTTGGGTTTTTTAATGCTTTTCTTTCATTTTAGGCTTCTTTAACTTTAATCATCTTTTGCGATACAGAATTCAAGCCTTAATTATTAAAGGGGGTCACTCCCAGAGATGCACTCACAGACTGAAACATTTAGTAGTCCCATAAACTAAAAAGAGGCACAACCTGGATTCTAGTAGACAAACGCAGCATGCAGTGGACACTACTAATGCTCGTTTGCCTGACCTCTACGCTCTGCATTGCTTTGGTGATGGGTTCAAATGTTGATGCAAAAGGAGGGGTATGAATCACTTATGAAATTTATTTTTTGTTAATATTTTGTACAATCCATGAAATCGAAACATTGTCTTCTTGTTTTAAAAGGTTTTTATGCAAACATGTTTTCCAGTTTTGACAATGTTCTTATGTAAAAAAAACAAAAAAAAAGATAATAAAACCTATTTTGGTACCTCTCCTGTGTGGTGTAATGTGTGAGTGTGTGGGTTGGTTGATGGGTGGGTGGTCAGTGTGTAGTACTCCTCAGTGCCAGCAGATGGTGAGTTTGCAGTGTGCTGAACAAAGGCAGCCAGCCGTATACATGTTGCTTATAAAGGAAAGCTTTAGCAAGTAGAGGAAGTCGGTGAGAAACAGTCCAACTTTGGGGTTACTGTGTATAAAAAATATGCAATATTTGAAAGGATGCAGAAGTTGAATATATTTGAGAAATAAACACTGAAACTTCATATCCTCTTTTAAAAGCAGAAGCACATAAACAAAACCATGATTTATTCTAGAATCTTTTTTTGTCTAATTTCTCAGTGCTGCATGTTGTCTGACTGAACTTTATGGTAAAATAAGTCACCAAGCCTGTTATATTAGCTAGCTTCAGTTTATGTCATTGGCCAGTAAGTCCCTATATTTATAATAGGGCAAATAACTATTGCATATATCTGTTGACTGATATATTTTCAAAAAAAAAAAAGAAAAATCAGAATTTAGAGCCAAATGTTTATAATATAGAATTAAAGAAAGGATGGACATGCAGTTGTTCTTCAATAATTACATCATTAAAACAAATACGGATGTGGCAAAAGAAACAGGCTTTTATTTGCTAAGCCGGTGGCTACTTATGGGCTAGCGAGCCGTAGTTTAGTTTTGTACATCCCTGAAAGACATGTCAGATGTTCAATGCGCTTGTCCTTCAATTGAATCAGCTCCTCCAACTTGCTCACTTTCACCTGAAGGTTCTAAGTACGAGAAAACAGAGAATGTCAGACTGGAGGTAGTTTCCCTAAGGAGACATGAACTTGAAAGGGAAGTTGGAAATGTAGGACAGCTTTATGGTTTTTTTCCCCCCTTTTTTAAACAGATGAGGCAAAAGAAAGAAAAAAAAATATCGCCACTGAGCCGGTGGTGACTCATGGACTGCTGCTGACCCAGGCTATGACAGGCCCACACACACATCCACGCACTTGTGCTGCAACACGAGCAAGCTTCCCCTCACACAGAGCATTGTAAAGGAAGATGGATGTTTGTGCATGAGTGTACCTTCAGAATATCCTGAAGTTCCTGGACCTGAAGTTCTTTTTCCAGTATGATTTGCCGGGTCACTGAAAGGCTCATGTCTGTGAAAAATGTCACTTGTTGCGGATTCCTTTGTGAATTAAAAATGAACAAGTCAAATGTTGGTTCATTCTAATCGTCATTACAAGTAGAGCAACTGATTTTTGAAACTTTTAGTTTCAATTCAAAGTAACAGTTTCCCATACACTGTTGGCTCTGCAATCTTCATCTCTGCCAGTTCAGCCACAAGTTTTGCTTCAGCCTCTTGAATTTCTACATCTAACAAAACAAACAACAAAAGAGGAGACATTTTCAGAGATTGAATCTAACAAATCTGGTGAGCTTAATAACTGAAAGTAAAGAAGTTAGCAAATAAGCGAGGAATACAAAATGAGACAGACAATGTCAGAAAAGAGGACAGAAAGAAAATCTGTTTTTCAGTCAACAGTGCTGAACTCTCACTGCTGGATAAGGACCATCTGAAAGTTGGGAGCTGATAAGGAGACCTGAGCCCCCCTTGCTGATAGAGGATGGGTGCAGATGAAAGACTAAAGCAAGAGAGTACAAAAGACTAGTGAGGAGCTGTTTGTTTTATCAGAATATTAAGTTAAGTGGTTGGATTTGAATTGTCATGAAAAAAAAAAACTAAAAATCCAGTGTTTATTTTCTATAATTTTCTATTTCCTTTTTATGACCCTATGGGTCAAAATATGGTCTTTATTACATATTTTATTTCCGCTTGAGTTTATAAAATAAAATTCTAACAATTTTAGCAATTTATTCTGACAATGTCCAAACAAATATTGAGCAGTAACCTCCTAAAAGTCAAAGAGCAAAAATGTTTTATTTTGTTCGGGTCCAGCTGCTTTCTCTCTCAGGTACCTTTTATCATTTCCTCTTCTCAGATGTAAAATCTCTGAGCATGACTTTTGATAGGGGTTTTAAATCTGATAAGTAGGTGGCCTCTGTCATGATGTCAAGCTTTTACCAACTCAGACTCAGGATATCTCTCTCTGTCAGTGATCTGGAGAGAGTATGCCACGCTTTTACATCTTTGAATACATAGAGTGTAGTAGAAGATTTAACATAGTACCTGAAAATGACAGTTTCTTCTCTAACTTCTCCTTGAGGAAAAACATCACTGGCAGTATCGCCCCAGGAATGCTTGAAACAATCTTCTCCACCGCTTCGTCTGAGACATAAAACTCCAGCTTGGAAAACACCCTCCTGACCATACGGAGAAACATAAGTTTCTACTACAAAAAAAATAAGTAAAAAGCAAACGACATGCAATTTACTAATGAGCCCACAGGGACAACTATGTTTACAGTCGGGTCTCATAAATTTGTACTTGGCTGTGTGTAACTCCAGTTGCCAGGATGTGGGTTAGTGAGTGCATGTCGGTGTTTTCTGATGACTTGATAAAAAGACCCAGAAAAAAATATCAATCTTATATTTGCATATTAATATACAAATATTAATATTCATATTAACGCATATGAATATGCATTTTCAGTTAGACTGATTTTGTAACTGAAAACCAGTCCAATAACTCAATCGTTCTGTCTTTTTTTATAATTTGTAAAAATAGGAAAAACTTGTTTTTTCACTTTTGAAGATATTTCTATGGGCTCTTTTAAAACATATTTAAAATTTATATTCATTCTTAATATTTTGGATTTGATCAGAGTGAGCAATTTAATGGATGATTAATAAATTCGGGCTTCATGACAAAGCCCATTTGTTTTAGTGACTAGTCCTCAGGCTAAACAAGACGACAACTTCACATTTCTATTATGCGCAGTGAGAAAAAAGTAAAGAATTTTTAAAAAACAACGAAAAAGAAACGTGATTGACTTGTTTTTTTTTTTTTTTGTTTTTTTTAATAACCACTTATAAGGAAAAACCCTTTTTTGTCCTGCAATGACAAGCCTGAAGGTGCTGGATTTCCTAAAAACTAATGGGACAACTATAACTGTGTGCTTTGGTTAGCATGGGAAGATTTTGCTTTTTAGCATCAAACACACAATTATAATAACAAGAATAAATGATGGGTAATCTATGGTGCTGCGAGCCAATTGTTCTGTGAATCGTGTCACTGTGAATAGCACCATAAACACAAACATTAGTTTTTAATATTAATTCTTTCACCAGGGCCCTGATAGAAGAATACCAGAAATAATTCCCAGGAATCAGATGTAATGAAATACAAAGCTACAGCTTGTCTTACTTGTTGAGAAGGTTCCAGTTGCTGATTTTCTGCTGCCTTTTGCAGGAAGTAATGTAGTTGTGAATGTCAACAATCTTTGGGAAGTAATGCTTAACAATCTCCGCAACCATCACTGCAGGAGGGTCCAGCATGTAGACACACAGAGTAGCCAAATAAATAAAACACAAGCTGACATGAACAAACTGAGTAAACAATCATTGAGTAGCATTTACAGACACAAGACAAGATCTACCTCCATCACTAAAGTCCCTGTTGATGTGCTTTGTGTGCCTGGATAAAGGTAATTTATCTACCCATGCAAGCGTGTCCCGCTCTTCCTCCTCACTAAGTAAACTCTCCATTACCAGAACAATACACATCCCTCAGCATAAAACAATTAGCTCCATAGCTTTCCGCTATCATGTTTGTTTCAGAGGTTGCTAGGTAACCACTTTTGAACCAAAACAAATGGCCTCTGAATGAAAACACGAAGGAATAAATAATTTGATTGATTTATTTCAACAGAATACAAATGAAGGCACAATCTTTCCATCACCATGTTTGCAGACACTATATGTAAGAATTACAATCATGACGCAAGATATATTTGTTAATTTTGATTAAAAAAAAAAAAAAGAGAAACTGAAATTATTATGAAATGCTATCCAATGTGTTTTGAAGATTGAAGCTGATTCAGTTATTGATGGACAAGCAATCACTCCAGGGTGTCGGGTTAGGACAGTTAAAGTATATGTTCAGGTGAGTTTGTGATTGATGTAAGAAGAGGATGTCCAACTCCAGGATTTATCTTCAAACGACTTTAATGAATTCTTGCTGTTCTCCATACATATAGTCACATGCAGTTGGGACTGTGGATGGGTGCGTATGTGTATGTGTGGTTTCTACAAGATAAACAAATACAAATTATAAGAACTTGCAGGTAAATGCACAATAAACCAAATGTCTGCAAAGTGTACAAACTTATTTATGTTTAAATATTACTATAAACTTCTTAATAGTTATGAGAATGTAAATAATAATCAAATCTGTTAATTATAGCATCACACAGTAACATATACAAGAGAAATAAGGCATTTTGGCAGCAAATAGTGACAAGAGTAACAGCTGCATCTAATCAACCGAGCTTAATAGCGTAGTGCTAACGGCTAACTTTTAGCTCTCAACAAATTAAGCAAACCGCAGCAAACGACAATAATATTAAACGTGACAGGATACGATACAGCTCTTAGACATTTATAACCTGAACTAAACCGACAACAGTATTACTTACATTCAATGGACGCACACGATAGAAAAGGACAACAGCGAAGCCTGCTTTGAGCCACACCACTTAATACACTCAGCTCTATCAACAACATGCAGCAAACACGAACGTGAGGCCACCTAGTGGCTGAAACAAAATACCACATTTAACATCCTGATAAAGAACAAAACCAGAGGGCTGAAAACAAATAATTAACTGTCTTTTGTACACAATGGATAAAGTGCCAATGATAGTGCTGACTGGTTCATTACAGAGCAGCTTGTGGAGCCATAACGCCTCTGCTACTGATTCTGTAATATAAAGCCCACATGATAGACACAAATACCAGGATGTAATGTCAAAAGATCATAAAACACAACAAATGAAAATAAAACAAAAAAGGAAAAGCACTCAGCATTCCTTGGGTCGCCACACACCAACCACTCTAAGTAATAAAAACATAAATAGACATTAAAGTGACCATTCAAAATATAAAACAACCATGAAAGCCCACAAACAGGATCAAAAGTACAAAAAGATTACAAAATTACCAATAAATTGGTTAACAGTGGGCCAAATTAAACAATTCCATAAAAATATAAAACATAAAAACAGTAGGAAGAAGAAGAAGAAGGAAAAAAAAAACTCGTACAAATTAAAAACAAATTGATGTAAACGTCTGATGTAAAATCTGCCAGAGGAGTTTTGACAGGTTTTATTGTTCTCTTCAGCCAGCGTGTCTCTGTGATTCATATTATTATTGAAATGAAGTATAAAAGTACCAGAACCAAATTATAAATGACAACCAATTTAGTACTCAGAGGAGTGTTTACATTCTTTGTAACATTTCCTCTCAGTTTAGATCATGTACCAGAATTGCAGTCATGTACATGAAACAAGAGGAATCTGATCATTTATTTCCCTGTATGTTTTCATAAAAATCTTATAAGATCCCTCATTATCTCCAGAGATGGTTGCAACAGTATTTAGATTTTTTGTTCTCTCACTATGGAGATTAACGTCTTGTCCAAGCTAGTTTTCATTTGCATAAAAAGAAAAAATAAGAAAATGGGGGGAAACATAAATACATAAACAAACGAATGAGTTAATTTCATACGGAGACATGTAAAATTAAGCATTGTCATGTCGCAGGATGTCTTGGGAGTCCATTCTTCACGTTGAATTGGACACACTGACCAATGTGCCACAGTTGCTCAGTGAAATCTGCCCTTCCTTAAGCAGACATCTGGTGCTGCTAAGACCTAAAAACAACATTTTACTTACTTCATTCCTGAGCACAACCAATGCTGGCAGAGGAGTCCTCCACTCCTACAACATGCCCATGGTAGTAGCAGTGGACCTAAAAATTAATTGAGTTCCTATTAATGTTGAAGAATTATTGAATTTTTGAAAATAAACTCTGCTCAAAGTGTGATTTTATTCCACGTAAATGAGGCACGGCATTGGCTAGGATAGGAAATGTACAAATATGTCAGTTGATGAGAAACGTACACGTCATCCGATTTCTTTGTAATAATAAAGATGATTGTGATAGAAGGTTTGGGATGTACAGACCAGTGTGGCCTAGAATTGTAAGAACAGGATCTGCCTTTGAGAAAAAGGCTTTCTCTGATATGTAGCAGAGACAAGCTGTGACAGAATTCAGTGCCAGGCCAAACTCTCTCTCTCTCTTTCTGTAAAGTGTTTCATAATTTTCTGCTGCTTATTAATCCAAGCCAAAATAAGCACTAAGTCCTATAATTCAAGTTCACCAAATAAAGTCCTATAAAGTGCTTATAGGACTATTTGCACTTCACCAAATAAAATGCAAATAACAAACAGGAAATGGACAAACCTCATGGTTGGAGGTAGTTGAAACTTGGGTTCCCTGATCAGAATTGTAGGTCACAGTAAAACTTTTCCCAACAAGACCCCTGAAAAGGAGGTAATATATAAAAGATTAATAAATTAATAATAATAGATTTAAGAAGAAGAACAGCCACAACAACAAAACAATATAGACTTAGAGAGAGTTAAAGTATTCTTACTTGTTATTCTCAAATAAAGGAAGAAAGAATAAAAGACACAAAGAGCAAAAGAAACAAAGAAAGACATTTTGCTTACCGCATGAGGAGATGAAAATCCATATAAAATATCCAGAATGTGTCATGTTGCTCTGTTAGACGGACTCTGTCATTGTCAGCTTCCAAGCCCAGAGGAAACGTCTTCAGTTCTCCGCCCATTTGATATGTAATATCCTGGAAATTAACATCTCAAACTGACCTCCCAGGTCAGCCAAAAGAATTGTGCCATGTTTCTTTTTTTTCTCCCGAGTATCTTCTATTATTTTGACACGAAAAAGTAAACACAATTACCAACATGTTTTAGTTGCATTGCAAAAACAGTCACATTAACAAACGAATCATTCATACTGTCGTCAAAGTGGCCTCTCGGTTATTTTATTATTCAGAGTTTTTATTTTATTTTTGGGTTTTTTATTTTATTTTCGGGGGCAGATTGAAACACAAAAGTTTCTTGATTGAAGCATTCAGTTGTTTCATTCAGTCACATTCCTGAAATACCTGTTATTTTGTCGCCATCTTGTGGTGTAAAGTCAAAACGCCTGACTGGCGCAATGAAGGAAAATATGCTTGAAGAGAAAACTAATAATTAACTGGTCAAGAAACAAGATACTTCAGGAGCTTCACAAACCAGATGTAAATAGAAAAGGCAAAATAAAAGTAATTTTGTGTTAAATTATGGATTCAGTCAGGCAGCAAAAACCACATGATGTTTTACCATGTGTTCGTTTTTTGTTTACAATGGTGTTACAAAAGACAGATAACTTTCCAAATGATAAGAAAAAAAAGATGACTGTTCTAAATTGTAGAAATGTAGACAGCAATTCCACGTAACATTCATGTGACTGAATGAAAAGCGGTTTTGTTTCCAGTTTGACCAGCTATAATGGTCTGAATCTGTGTTTTCAGTGGTGAATATTGTTAGGAACTACACAGCTGATTATGACAAAACTCTAATTTTCAACAAGATCCATCATAAACTGAACCAGTTCTGCAGCGTGCACACTCTGCAGGAGGTCTACATTGAGTTGTTTGGTAAGAAATTGACTTTGCTTTACTATAGTTTTTAGTTGTTGTTGTAGTTTTTTTTTCCCTAAACCTTTCAAGTGGTATTGATTGCATGTTGACACAATTTGTCTTTTTGTGTCTCACAGATATTATAGATGAGATTCTGAAGACTGCATTACAGAAGGATCTTAATGCGATGGCACCTGGACTAAAGTCTGCATATTATATTTGATAAATGAGGCCAGATGGCAATTTATAGGAAAAAAAAATCCTCCTCCCTTTGACTTTTTTTTTTTTAATCCTCCATTAATGCAACGTTTTGATGACCCATAAAAATATCCTCCTCAGCTGAGTCAGATTCTGAACCTGTTATTAACTCTTCCCACCCTCTCAAGTTGTTCCAACACCTGGATTGGGTTTATTTTCAGCCACAGCGGGTAACATAAGATCTACTTTGGCCAGGACATTCCTAACATGTTTGTGGAGGGGACGAACGGCGCTGCTAGACCCGTGCCCTCGCCTTCTTTACCCATCGCTGAACCGGAACTGAGTAAAGCGAAGTAAAAGTCACAGTTAGTCCACAGCTGAGCCTCTGCACAGGGCAGGACGACCTGATGCAAAGCAGTCTTGTCACTGAACATGTGTTGCTTTGCTGCTAGTTTGGTGAACAGCACACTTCAGTCTTAAATCTACATGGTAGAGAGAGAGAAAGTGAAAAGTCAGAGTTTGGGACACACAGTGTGAGTCTTACCAGGAAACGGAACGATGCCGACTTTACGTCTGGGAAGGTGACAGAAAGTACTTACACCTGCTTTTTTTCCTTTTTTTTTTTTTTATTAAATCATTGCAGCGTTTAACTTTGCTTTTGGAGCCGTTTTCATTCCTTATGTGCAGCAGCTGTGATTTGTGATCGCCATGAGTTACTGTTTTTCTAACCTCTGGTTTAACTACATTGAAACTTGACTGGTGACACTAATTAAGTTGGATGGAGACGTTTCTAAGTAATTAAAGTCATCTGTGCCATTTGTTTTTCTTTTAACAAGTTAGTGGTTGGCTATCCTCTCTTAGTCCACGCCTGAGAACAATTGATTAACACCTCATGCTGCTCCTGGTGACGTTTTGGCACTTAGGCTGGTTGAATGCAAATGTTTCAACATTAAAGACACAATGAAAATAATCCCAGCTGTTAATCTTCCTTTCACTCAGAGATCTGGAAGTTTTGTGGAGCAGAGTAGTGGATAAATAAGATTGTTGGCTGTTTGCTTTATTTTTTTGGATGATTTTAATTTGTAATCTGTTGGTTTGCTGACTTTCTGTGACACTTACTGTGAAGGAAAAGGGACATAACTCATATTTTTTGTCTCATAAAACTAAATTAAGATGCTTGATATGGAGTAAATCAGTAAAGGTGGGGGAATTTCTTTTGTCAGACTGTCGGCATGTTGGTATGGTTTTGATTAACAGGGCTATGCATGTTTTTTTTGTTTTGTTTTTTTAATTCAAATAAATATAACCCATGATTGTCTCCTTACACAGCTTGTTCAGATATGATTAAATGATTGGTTCAAATGTTAATGCAAAAGGAAGGGTGTGATTCACGTTTGAAATTTTAGAAAATATTTTGTTCAATTATTTCTATTTTGTGAAATTGAAACATTGTCTTCTTGTTGTGAAAGACTTTTATGCAAACATGTTTTCCAGTTTTGACAATGTTCTTATGTAAAAAAAACAGAAAAAAAAAGATAATAAAACCTATTTTGGTACCTCTCCTGTGTGGTGTAATGTGTGAGTGTGTGGGTTGGTTGATGGGTGGGTGGTCAGTGTGTAGTACTCCTCAGTGCCAGCAGATGGTGAGTTTACAGTGTGCTGAACAAAGGCAGCCAGCCGTATACATGTTGCTTATAAAGGAAAGCTTTAGCAAGTAGAGGAAGTTGGTGAGAAACAGTCCAACTTTGGGGTTACTGTGTATAAAAAATATGCAATATTTGAAAGGATGCAGAAGTTGAATATATTTGAGAAATAAACACTGAAACTTCATATCCTCTTTTATAATCAGAATTACATAAACAAAACCATGATTTATTCTAGAATCTTTTTTTGTCCAATTTCTCAGTGCTGCATGTTGTCTGACTGAACTTTATGGTAAAATAAGTCACCAAGCCTGTTATATTAGCTAGCTTCAGTTTATGTCATTGGCCAGTAAATCCTGTTTAAAACACAAAAAAGTCTTCATTTTGAGATCTTTAGTAGTTCTTTAAGCTTTTTAAAAGTTTGCTGATTATTAGCTCCTTTTTGATCCCGTTTCATTTTCCTACATCAGCTTCTTTGGAATCCAGTTATTCGTTTTAAAAGCTTTCGCAGAGGCACAGTGCATTCCTATTTAACTAAATCTGTAAGATACCAAAGATGAGTTTGATTATTAATTAGCATCTTGCATCGCAGTTCTTAAAAAGTTGTCAAAACCGGCTTGGTAAGCAGTGTGTCTCCACTAATTTGTGGAGGACAAAATGCAAAGAACATGAGTATTAACAGTGTCCAACAGTCACGCTTTAAGGATCTGTAAATAAAAACGGACTCATCCTTTAACGTGTGGCCTATGTGTTATTTTTCTTAAGCATCTGTATATTTGAGTTGCATCTGGGGAGAAAAACAGCTTAGCCATGATTTCCATAAAGACCAACTGGCAGAAATCTCTTACTCATCTATAATAAAACATGAAGATAAAAGATCCCTAAGTGTTATTGCTTGTTGCTGCATCATCGAGAAAAAACTGACCGTATGCTGTTTTTGCATATAAAAACCGCAAAAGGTGTATGTGTGCATAAACAGTTTAACTGTCAAACTGGGATGTTAATGTACTGTAACAAATGACACCAGGATAACTATTTTGGGACTTCTCCTTACTCTGAACGTGACAAACACCCTGCACAACTTATCTGAAAAACAGATATAGAAAACTGATTTAGAGAAAAATGAAAAAAAAAGAGGCTGCAATGATCAGGCTGCATATGCATCCTTAAAGCTGCATTGAATCATTCTTTGATTTAACGTCACACACACGCAGTCGTGTTTTCATTGTGGGGACTTTACATTGACTTCCATTCATTTTCTACACCCTAACTCTAACCCTAAACCTAACCATCACAGACCCATAACCCCTAGCCAAAAACCATTTCCCCTCATGGGGACCAAGAAAAATGTGCAGTGGTCCTCACAACCCCACACTGTAGACAGAAATAGTCACACGACTAACATACACACATGACCACATATATATATGTATGGAAGTCACATAAAAGCTTAAACAATGTTATGTTGTCAAAAACTTGCATCTTAGTATCCACTGAAATTTTACTGTCACACAGTACACTTTACTGTGACTCATCATGTACAGATATAGTTTATAAAACAGACAAGTATTTTGAACAGCTTGATGAGTGATGGCTTCCTCTCGGGCCCTCTGGAGGTCTCTGGCATCCTATGACAATCAAATCATAAGTCCTCGCTTCCTCAGGGATTGTGGTTAAGTCTTGTTTGCCCCCTATGTCATTTTCCCTGAGAGAAATCCAGGCTGTAAGTAAATATGAATGAATTTCCTTTTTGGTTCATTGCTCCACTGAAGGTTTGTTTGTTTGTCCGACAGGCTGTGCTAATTCATTTGGGTGGTCTTCTTATTTGGTATCTGTGTTTTTCTCTCGGGGCTGTGAGGGGTTGTTTCAGCTTCCTGTCTGACCTGTCACTTTTCTTTCCTTCCTTTTGTCCCGGATCTACCCAAGTCATATCCTATAAGATAGAAAAAAAAACCTTGGCGCTTTCCAGCATGCCCTTCCCCAGTTACATGAGGGTGCGGCCCCTCATCTTAGATCAAATCCAGCCCCGAGAAAGCAGCGTGAATCATTCGCAGTAAATTCTACTTTCAATGGTTGCTCTGTTTTCTCACATTCTTCTCCTGTGTGTGTTGTTGCTTTTTCCCAGCATCCCTCACTGATGGAGCTCCTTTTTGTTCCTGTGATAATTATCAAAACATTACTCAAGACTGCTCTATAATTTACTGTTGTGTGTGTGTCTGATTCTTATCTAAGCCCCCTTCCTTACTCTCCAACACTGTGAACATGTGTATGCCTTACTTGGAGAAATGTCAATTCAGACAAACCATGTATTGTAAACTGGAAAACCCGATTAAAGCTACTAGCTCATCTTTTGTCAACCTGTCAAACTAACTGCAGCTGCAATCTAAATTTGTCAGCTTTAGTATATGACCTCCCAAAAAAACAAACCTCCAAATAAATGTGTCTCTGGTGACATCACATGACGCATTAGACAATAGATCAGATATCTTCTGTGAATATCCATTTGTAGATTTGAATTCTAACCCTAAGCAGCCACCTGCAAGATTGTGATTCACATGTTTTAGAAAACATATAGTAGAAGATACCTCATATAATTTTATCAACGGTAGGAATATTTCTTCTGATTCTGTTGCAAATACAAGCACTTCTATCTTGATTGTCTTTTTATTTTAAAATCTTGTCTAGCTAGCATACAAAAATTTGATATTCATTTTGTTTTTACTTCAGAACATGGGAGAATCTCGGATGGACCATCGTGTGATGTTTACTGATACCAACAAATCAGATTGATTATTATATGCTTTCTGTAATGACACTGATTCAAACACACACATATCAGACATAATAGTTATGTATTAAACTAACTTACATAAATAGTAAAATGGCTTTCATGGTATTATATTTCATATTCTACAGTGAAGCTCAGAAGCTAACCCGACTTTCCAGTATAATGTCAATTGGAAAAAATCCATCAGAAAAGAAGATAAACCATATTTTTTAATTGAAAGAACTGTTTGTTTTTAGACTGCAGGATGAAGAACACTTGACCATATTTGGTCATCTCTGATCAATGAACTGATTCATTCTTTAAGTTCATCACTGAGCTGTAAAAAGGATGTCAATAAGAACTGTGTTCTATCTTTGGATCATTTTCACACTTAGATACTGTTTTCTCAAAATTGACAGTTTAGTTTGAAAGTGACTCATACAAACCTACAGCTAAAGATATTTAAGATCAAATGAGACACGTCATTCACATCTACCAACCTGGAAAAGATTGCTATGACTCTTCGTAATAAGGACCGCCTCAAACAAATGGAGAAAACATAGAGTATTGAACTGTCTGAAGACTGATCAGGAGCTCACAAAACAACACAGGATTGGTTTTGGTGT